TTAGCATTTTTGTACTGTGACCATGTTAGGGACTGATTTATAGGATTAGATGGTTTTTCTATCTCTATTTCAAAACAATCGATTATGCAAAACACATTTGAGTACTCCTTGTTTGTTTTGAAAGAGGATGGCAAATTTCTTTTTACATCACGTTTACTTGGAATAGGAATAAGTTGTTTAAAGAATTTGGATAATAAATACAATGTCCTAAAAATATCCTCCATAATGTTGTTAATGACACCTCAAACATATCAGAAATCTGATAGAAAGGGGTATTATTTCTAATTTTATATAATGTTATTATAATGTGTGATGATTTTACTTTAAGATTAATTTAAACTTTTTGTGGCCATGTAATGTTAAATAGGAATCCACTTCATAAATAGGTTCTTCTTTGTGTTCTTTAATAATTTCATAAAGTTTACATTTAAGCATGTTTGGCAAATATGCAAGTCCCTTATTGGTAATCCACTTTTGCATTTCCGCTTTACTATTTGCCATTGTTGGCGACTTGTTAGCAGTGTTGGGCATTAATCAATTAATTTGTCAATTATCTTGTTAATTGATTAAAAAAGTAATTGCAATTAAATTAATTACAATTAAATAAATCGCAATTGAACTTTTAATTGCACCTTGCAATTAAATTAATTTGATTAACGTGTTTCAATTGTAACTCAAAATTAAAATAATTGCAATTAACTTTTTTAGTTGTTTTATGAAACAATTAAAATTAACAATTAACTTTATGTATCAAAATGAAATTAGTAAAGATTTTGGAAATTTAAGCTATAAGTATTACACTTTAGACGAATAAAAAAGTGGTCAAAGGCTGTAAGTATAGCTTATTTTTTCTAAATCTTTCTTTCTACATAAAAAAAACTGCTAGTAGATAAAGAAACGAATTTTTCCTTTCAATGTGTTTATTATTATGTATAACAATGTTGCATTGATAAATATTTCTACAGCGTGGGTATACAACAAAAACGTTTCAAGTCGTAACGTGTTCATTTTGTCGGCCCGACTGAGTACATTGCCCTCGCCTCTCTCTCTTACACACGTCACGTATACAATCTTCGTTTCCATCACTCTCGCGCCGGGCGCGGGGCGTCGTTCGTTCAGTGCTCATTGCCAAGGAGAATGTAAAGGAGTTAGAGACGGAACTTAGAACATTTTTTTTTATTTTCAATTTTTATGGAAGTCTGTATATGTTGCGCCAACCTTAAGAAAATACATTTATTTATTTTTATGTTGGCTATATGCTGTAATAGTTTGACATATAGTGAAGAAAAAGTCGATATTAGTGCTGTTTAATGTCGATAAATAAATATCGACTATACGTAGCCTTCATTAGCATATTATTTTTACTTGTTTAAAATTTTTAGAGTTCTAAAAACAAACAACATAACCAATTTCCAATAGTATTATTTATTTTATTTCGAAAAACAAATGACAAATCTTAAAAAAGCTACAATTTACAATTTATTACAACATTATACATTTATGCAGGTTAAATGCAGTCAGAATACACATTTTGCTATAAGCATCCAAAGCGGTCAATATACCTACATATCTTATATTTATAATATTATGTGAGTTATCAAGATGTTTATTTTCAACATCTATTTACAATAAAGGAAATTACAAGTAAACTTAACTATATGTACAAAGCAAATATACACTTAATTATTACTGTACAAGTCGTGTCCGCGTAGAAAAGTGGCAAGAATGCTGGCCGCATTGCGCTGAATGGCAATGCCGATTCTTTGGGAGAATAATGAGTCAGCTCTCCTGTCACCAGTAGAGGCGATAAGACGAGGTGTTATGTCTTTTAAAAAGTTCTTAGCACTTTGACTCCAAGGCCCAAGAGTTTCTACAGCAAAAGGTATAAAATATAATTTTGTTGTTGTTGATGTTTATTAACATGTTTGGTAATGAAATTTCCAATGACCAAAGAATGTCAAAACCTTGATGATAAAACCTAAGATGCAGAAACCTGAGCCCTTATAAAAATCAACACCTAGTAAAACACCTATTAAGTATCAAAACATAGTTGTTGGGCTTTTTTGGTGTTGTGAGCAATTTCTTCAGCTTGTGTTAACAATGTTTCATTGACCCTTTGACACTGCCTCCGTACAAGTAACATAGCCAGACGACTATAAATTAAGTTGGTGACTTCAACGAAATGTTCACTACATTTCAAAAATGAGGTGTCACTATTTGTCATAAACAAGATATATAAAATTAGATATATTAGTTTTATAGAGAACAGGTACCACCTCATTTTCAAAAATGTTTACACATTTCTCAATGACCCTGCAAAGACCTAAGGTGGGATAAGTTAAAGAATTCTTATCCTTCCACCATTCTCTTAACTTAATATAGTTATATATTGGATTATTAAGGTCAGGGTTTGCCATGCTTAACATATTTTGGCAAGTACGACATTTGTGCCTCTTAAGAATATTTGATGCAATAAATCCACTTATGTAGACAATAGGTTGATTTTTAAAATCCAACAGTTATGTCTCGACTTCATCATCCAACAAATCTGGTAAATGTAAGAAAATCATAGCCTCTTTTAAATTTTGGTTTTCTTTGTCTTCATTCATACTTTCAACTTCACTTGTTGAAGATACACTTGGTTGTTTTTTATTCTCAGTTTCTCTATCAAAAATTAAATTGTGAAAATCTGTCAACAGATTATTAGAATCATTTTGACAGTTTGACCCTCTACACAGGTGCTGTAAGTCGGGAAATTACTGCAGATTTTAAGGCACTAATAAAATTCGATGTTGTGGGATGGTTATTTGTTGGGCTATGCTGGCGCATAACACCAAATAGGTTTTCGAGGGCACCTTGATTCACCTGTCTTAGGTTTAAATATTTTAACTCTAGCTTTTGCACATCACACCATAAATCTCTTAAGGAACACATGGTCGTGATGTATCCTTGAACACATTTTCTGTCTTATTACAAAAAGCGGTTTAACTAAAAAACCTGGTTTAAACTTCTTTATACTGCGGTCTAAACAAATTTGGTATTACAAATCGTGGTTTTGCGATAAACCATAGACTATATCATGGTCTAACGCTAAACCTCGGCGACCCCTAGTTTAACGATGGTCTAAATCACTAAATCGGATTTGTCAAAGTTTGTGTTTTATGTTATATCATCTTTTTCATTGTGTTGTGTTGTTTTAACTCGAAAATGTAAACATGGTCGATTTAATTGATATTGAGGATATTGAAGCCGCTGAGATGTTGGAATTACCACGCCGACACAACAGAAGTCGTGTTCGAGTCAATCCCATCATGGAATTATCCGATGAAGGTTTCAGGCAAAAGTATAGGTTTAAACGTTATGCAATGAAAATAGTGGACTTAGTAAAAGAAGATTTAACTAGAGATGGTCGAGGATGCCCTGTGTCTCCCGAAATACAAGTGTGTTGCGCATTACGAAGCTGGGCTCGACATGAAGTAAGTAGATTAAAAGCATAGATTGCATTTACCAAAACATTGGTAGCAATAAAAACTAAATTATGTACAAACTAATATTTTGTTTTTGTTTATTTATGGACAGCCAACAAAAGATACATTTATTTACACTACAGCATACTTATAACCTAAGAGTCTAATCTATGTCTGGTAAATATTATTTTAATAACAGGTTAACACACTATGCAGTACACATCAAGTAATATAAATTATAAATAATAAAACAGGTAAATTAATTAGTTAAGTTATAAAATATATAAAATTATATATTTTTTTTGTTTTAATAGATCCAAGATGACACAGCTGATTTGCACGGAGTCTCACAACCTTTCATAAGCAAGATATGTAAAAATATTGCAGAAACCATTGCCCGAAAATCACATACATTTATAAAAATGCCTGCTACATTGAGAGAACAAGAGGAACCAATGCAAAAATTTCGCAGAGTTGCAAATTTTCCTATAGTTATTGGTGCAATTGACTGTACTCACATCAAAATAAAAAAGCCAAGTGAAGATGGTGGTCAACTATATATTAACCGAAAAGGATTTGCATCAATTAATGTTCAGGTATTATTGATTTTACATACATATTTTTCTTCCAAAATAAAGGAACAACGACTTTAGTCCACAGCCCCATTCCCGATGAGGCTTTGGTTATAGTGTTGGAAAATTGTTTAACCTACCCAAGGCTTCACTCACAGTGTCCATGTGTAATGTGATTACTATACAATAAATAATATCAACCTGCCTTGGCTTAACATGGAATATGGATGCAGTAGAAAAGTATAATTAGGATGTTTTGTGCATACCAAAAAAAACCTTTTTAAAATCTAGTGGTTTTGAAGGAGTGAGCAGACAAAAAGACATAAGTGGCCAGTGACTTTGTTCTATAATATGTACTAATAGTGAATACTTAGTCATGCTTATGTAAGTAAGAAATACTAAAATATGTAACTATTGTTCCAGGTAGTTTGCGATGCAGATTTAAAAATCATGGACATTGTTACTAGGTGGCGTCGGAGTGTTCATGACTCACGAATATTTAGAGAGAGTCGTTTGAAGCAGCGATTTGAGGCTGGTGCATTCTCAGGCATATTGCTAGGAGACAGTGGCTATGCTTGCACACCATATTTGTTTACTCCATTACTGCGTACTACAACACCTCAAGAGGAGCGGTACAATAATGCACACATTAGCACCAGAAACACAGTGGAAAGATGTTTTGGGTTGTGGAAGCAGAGGTTCCGCTGTTCATTAAGAGGCCTTTACTGCAACATTGAAACTGCTAAAACAACAATTGTAGCTTGTGCTGTATTGCACAATATTGCCATAGATATGAAGGAAGATGTGTTTCAGAGTGGGTTTGATGACAATAAAGCTAACACACAAACATCTGCAGCAGTAGCTTTACCAGTGGAAAACAATGTACGTGGAAATATAAGAAGACGGCAATTCATTGAAAGACACTTTTAATTAAAATAATATATTTTAAATTTAAACCTTACATAATTCTAATTATTATAACATTTCTTTCAACCATAAGTAGTACTAGAGTTTTTCCTTTTTTTTCTAATAGTTTTATTTCAAGTTCCAGTTTTTTTAATTTTAATTCAGCAATTCTTACATTGTACTGGTGCTCCACTTCTAGCATATCTAATTGTTTTTTTTTAAATTGACAATTGGACTTCAATATTGTCTCTTGTAATGCTTTTTTTCTGTGAAATATTTACTCTTTATATTTTATACGAAGCAAATAATAAGAATATATTCTAGGGTAATCTTTCTTACATGCTTTGAGGACCCTTTTTACCCGACTGCTTCCTACGAATATTGTCTTTTTTTCTAGGGGTACTAATTCCAACATTTACCATTGAGGTACCTTAAAGTATTTTAATTACATATAGACGAATTATATAAAAATTCTTTAGTTCATGTTATATATTTTTTGAAAATAAAAAATTTAAAGTATGGTTAAAATAAAGGAATACAATTTTAAAATTTATAGATGAATTATTATTTTTACCTTGGTCCATTATAACCTCTATTACCTCATCATTGAATTCAGGAGGTGGTTCTGTGGTTATAAGAGGTGGTTCTACTATAGGAGAAAAGCTTGTACTAGGCCCAGCTGTAATTTCACTATCTTGGGTGTTTAATTGAACCTACAAGTACTTAAAAACTGTTATTTAAAACTGTATATTAATTGTATTAGTATTTTATAAAAATATGTAAAGAACAATATGCTTACATCAGTTTTTATTGCATCACTGTCATAGTCATTGTATTCCACAATAAAATCGTGTGGAGCAATATCCATAATCGCCATATCTCCTTGAGAAGGCGACTTGGGCTTTTCACCACCCCCTGTCTTCATTTGGTGTTGCCTATGAGCGGACAAGTTAGCTTTAGCCGCAAGCTTCATCCTCTTCCATGCCAATTTAACTTCACCATCAGAACTATTTTTTCCCATGAGTTCATTAATTCTGAAAATATTTCAATAACATGATAATTAATTCCGACACAGGAGTGGCTTATTGTTTATAACAGATTGCCATGTCGCAGAACTCAAAAGAAAAAAATATGATAATTTGCATATGGCTTATTGTTTATAACAGATTGCCATGTCGCAGAACTCAAAAGAAAAAAATATGATAATTTGCATAGTTAACGGGTCACTTATTAATAAAAAAAAACTTAAAACTTACTTGTTTGCTATGTTCTTCCACTCTTGAGCCTTTTTAATATTCGAAGAAGCTCTCGTGGATTTGTCCTCAATTATCTGGCGTGATTGTGCAATCATCTCGCGTAGTATATCCTATAATATTTAAAATTTAGGTAAGCTTAAAACCAATAAATTATAGATGGATTTCAAGTTCATGTAAGTAATGTATGTTTACTTACTTTTTCCTCGGCACTCCAATTCTCAGATCGCTTTTTTTTTGTTGGTCCATCACGTTAAATCCTTAAAATTAAGAAGAATACAAAGAGGCAATTGTTTTGTTCTATTAAGATTTAAATTCCAAAGCTAAATGAACTTTGTTCAACTTGCGATGGTTTTGTTTAACGTTATGGTTTCATATTACGCGCGAGAATGTTACGTTTCGATACACGTACTTGGATTTTTAGAAATTAATACGACATTAAATAATGTGCTTGAACCTAAACAAAACTGCAATCGACGAAATAACTAAATAATGTTTATATCCATGCAAAATAACCAGGTTTCAAAATTTTTAACACTCCTAAACATCATCTAATCATTAGCGTGTTATCAAAACATTTTCTTTTCTGAGCATACGGAACGTTGCAATAGAATGATATCATAGTGAACGAATGATATTTGTATTAATCTGTGGTTGACATTTATACAATGGTTCAAATGACGGTACTAAGAAGACCACGGTTTTTTTAAGTTTTGTAATACGAACAAATTAAGACCATGGTTCTACAGATAAGCCTGGACTTGATAGTACAGGTTTAAACTAAGGTTTATTTAGTTTTTTATAATAAGACCGTTTATGTTTGTGGCTTGTGCTCCAGTTCCTACTTTTTCAAATCTGAGACTTTGCAATGTCTTTCTAAATTGAGCCCACTCTTTTATGTGATCTGTCTTAGCTGAAACATTTTCTCTTAACCCCTTTTTAATGTCCAATGGTCCGGATGGACCATTAGTTTTATCAAACAGCCGGCCCAGCTCATGTACAATCTCCCCAGTCTGCATTATGGCATTGGACTCGGTTGGATCTCTTTCACTAAGGGCCACTAATTTTAATATAGCAGCTACTATGTTACTAAGTAATTGAGAAGCATATTTTACTTTCATTTTAGCTCTGTATTTTGGTTGCACATGAGTTTCAGTTATTTTACTGAGATAAAGCATTTTTTTGTTTAATTCCTGGATCTTTATGAAATGCTCCCAAAGAGCTTGTTTTCCGTTCATCTGAAGTTTTCCATAGTTCATGAAATTGTTTCTTAACGATTTAAATAGATGTGGAACATCAAAAATAATGTAAACTTTGTTAACCCCTACATAAAAATAGTTTTGTGATGTTCCACTTTCTCGTGTGTGGGACAAATTTTTCAGTATTTTCAACGCTCCCATATTTGTCGGGCCTTGATCACAAACAGTGGCCATAACATGAAATCCTGTTTCATTTATTGCTGAAATATTATTTTGAATTAAGGTGGCCAATTTGTTTGATGATATTGTGTTTTAGAAAACTGAACTTGTTTCAAAGAACTGGAACGCTCAGAATTGCCTAGGTCTATGTAACCTTCAACTTGGTCAGTCGCCGCATTAAAATTCAATTTTGGTTTCAATGCTATTTCGTCAAACAGCAAGCAGCAACATTTGTCTAATTTTTGTTTTTGTTTTGATATTTTGTGCAAGTGTTCCAAAACTTGCTTATTAATACCAGGTTCCATGGGAATTTTTTTCAAAATAGTTTGTAGTGTTTTTGCAGTGGGTAAAGGCAGCAGGTGCTGTAAATACCTGTAGATTTTGGGTGAGCGCTTATAAATGGCTAAACAAGCAATTTTGTACTTGGATGTCCATCGAAATCCATGAGGTTTTCTTTTTCTATTTTTTATTGCCATTGCAACTATCTCCTTTAGAACCGGAAATTTCAGCTCTTCCATGTCTCGAACTATTCCTCTTACTGACTGCAAAGATGCTTTTGTTTTTTTAAGTTTTTCAAGAAGCAACATTTATCTTTCATTTAAATCTGCAAAAATAATTAATTTCATTAGATTATAATATTATTATAAAGCACATATATCGGGAATATCCGGACAGAGCACTCAACGCTCTTTTTTAAATACCCTCACTTGAGACATAACACGTTTTTCCCTCAGGATAGTTCTATCAGTAACACTCAAACCAATGTTTTGCATAATATGTTACATATGTTCAAAATCTATCACTAATTACAGTAACTAGGTTTTTGGTGAAATGATATTCCAATACAATAAAAAAAAGTTTTACCTGTTACTTCAATGCTCTGGTAAGATTTATTCATTATTCCACTTTTCTTTTTTTTTATAGTTACATTTTCTATTGCATCATCAATAATATTCCTCTTGAGGTTTGTGTGAACTGAAACAGGGAATATACTAAAACCTAAATATTTAGATACCTTAATATGTAATAAAAAATAATGTCTGTTAAAAAAATAATTATTATTGTGTACAATAGTAATATTCAAACAAACTTGATTGAGATACATTATAGTGTGTAATAGCAGCAGTGCAACTCAGATAGTTGTTTATCTAAGTGTGTGTAAATTACATAGTGAGTAAATTACATATTTACCATTTGTTGTCTGTTGTTGGCTTGTACCGGGAGTAGCTTCTATAGAAGCTGAAACTAAAATAAAAAGAGAACTTGAATTCCATGTCTGTTAGAAATAATTTCAATTACATTTAACAAATAAATAACCATCAAAAAAACTTATTGAAATCGGTTAACTAATTTGGGAGATATGATATCACAGACAGACACAGACAGACAAAGGCTTTAAACTTATAACACTTCTTTTTTTGCTTCTGGTTTTAAAACACCCTTTTAGTAACAACAAACTAAATTGAAATAAGTTTTCAGTAAAACTATAATAGTTGTAATTTTTTTAGTAAAACTATAATAGTTGTAATTTTCAAATAATCTTTTATAACAATAGTTGGAATATTCAAATATTATTTTAGCTTCAGCGCGAGCGAAGCCCCAGGATCTGCTAGTTTATTTATATCAAATCAACAGCCTAAAAAATAAGTTTCAAGCTTCTAGGTCTAAAAATGACGATACTTCCATACAACTTTTCATCCCCCCTTTCAATCCCTTACAACCCGTTTTGAGCATTGAAAAGCAGCTTATGTCCTTTCTCAGGCTCTAGACTATCTGTGTACCAAATGTCATTTAAATCAGTTCAGTAGATTTTGCGTGAAAGCGCGACAGTTACTTTCGCATTTATAATATTATTCTAGAATAGTAAGGATAAGGTTTATTTTGAACTGTAATCATTTATGTAAATTATTTAATTACCATTTAAAATGTGTTCATCTATTGTTGCATTTTGCTGTTTGCTTGTGCCAGAGTGAAGAGGGGCTGAAATTAAAATAAAAAATCTATATTTGTATCCCATATGAAACACAATAAAACATCTATACATTATAAATTAATGTAATAAACATACCAGTTTTGCTTGCAACATGAAGAGGGAACTCTCTTAACACTTCATCAGGCAATGGTGCTGCCAACAAATTCAACTTGGGGTATGCCCTTTTTTTAAGTCGGTTCCCTTTTTTATTAAAATCTCTTTTTTCAAAGTGATCCCCACATACACTGCGTAACTTGTGAAGTTTCTCTATTGGTAGAAACACAAGATCTTTTTTACCAACTAACTTGACCCAAGCTCGACAACTGTAAGTAAACATTGTATTTAAAATAATTATATCATAATGGAAAAAATATATATACAAATGATGTGTCTATCTACCATGAAACAGCTAATACAAGCTATAAAGTTAACTTTCAGTATTGTTTGAATCTTTCGTAATCTATCCATTATCATCTTCAAAAAGTCTGAGGTCATTATTATGATTATGTAGATTTGATCATGTAGCCATCATAAGAATTAAAACTCCATTTAGAGTATAAATAACTCAAAATTTTAAGCGTCCCGTCTGTAATCACTGGCTTTGAAGCGAATGTATAGCAGTAAAGTAATTCCACTCATGGATTTTTAGGTTATACTTACCGGTTCTCATCCAATGGAAAACTAGCGAAAAATCCACCCCTGCGGCTTTCATTAATACCACACACTTCACACACTCTTTTTCCACCCATACTTATTGAGTCTATTATCTCACAAATGTTAATAAATTATAAAAACTATAACAGTCTTCTCTAATAATAGTGTCAAACCACCAAAGCGGAGAAGCCAGGTTCAATTCAACTCTATTACGGAGAGAGAAATAAACGCACGTAGCACTAAAATATCTTAATTTTCACTGTGAATACTAAAAGTTAAAATCCACTATAACAGTAGGTACTATAGCGAAAAAAAGTTTTAGATACACAGCGGCCATTTAGATGTTTTGATTTGGTTCGAAACGGAATGTTGGACATACTGTCTGTGCTGCCACTTTATAACTAAAAAAAAGGATTTTTCATTTTCTATAATGGCAAGTTACATGTAATATTTATAGGTTGGTAGAAGAAGTACAGAAAGCCGTACATTTTTTTTTCGACAGACTGCTCATTGCTCGCTCGCCACGTGAACTAGTCTCTTTACTCGTGTCGTTTAAGCTTTTTGCATACATAAATGTTTGTGTCTTAGTTAAAAATACATTGTTTTAGCCTAGACTTGTAACATAAAATGGCGTCGATAAACGAATTGGACGAAGACAGTAACATTTCAGTGACTCTTTCGGTTTCGGACATAAATGATTCATTAGAAACGGTTTCGCCTGTGCCACCAACCGACACCGCCGAGAGTTCATCATCGTCGCAAGCGCGGCTTCTCGTACTGGATGGAACATTTTTCAAATACTTGCCTGAAAAGTGTACGGGTAATAAAATCACAGCGCTTTGTATGAAATGTCCAAGAGATGTATTGACTAAAGTTAAAGGATTTCATAACTGTACGTCGAACTTTTTAAGTCACCTGAAGCGAAAACATGGGTAAGATTGCATTGAAGAATATAAAACCTATGTAAAAAAAAAGAAAAGTGAGGTCAAGAAAAAAGGTGCTACTATTGTCAAAATCACAACTAGTAAAACAAAGAGGTCGAATGAGAAGATAATGTCACAAGAACAATTCGATGAAAATATTTTGAAATATTTTATACATTCCATGATTCCATTGCGTGCAGTAGAAGATCCATATTTTTTCCAAAATATTCACGGACTTAAATATATCTGAAATGGGTCTAATTTTAATGAGTCGACGCACACTAGGACGTCGTATAGAAAAACACTACGAAACGCAAGTAGCTAAGATCAAGTCAGAACTAGAAAAAGTTCCCTATGTGTGCACAACCATAGATATCTGGACAGCGCACTGGATCACAAATGATCTACGCAGAGTTTCAGTGGCGTTAGCTTGTCAACGATTCAGAGGCGTCCACAGCTATGATAGACTATCCGATATAATTCAAGAAATTAACGGTGAATTCGACCTCAATACGAATAAAATTGTTGCATCGGGTGACGGATAATGGCAGCAATTTCGTTAAAAGCTTTCAAAACGTTCGGTGTTAAATTAACCAATATAAACATTGAAAATGAAGTTATGCCCGACTCTCAGCCAACAGAAGCTTCTTCTGAATCAGATGTTGAAGAAGGTGAATCATGGAATTTAGATAATCCTGAGCATATTTGTTTCCTTCCTGTTCATTTACGATGCTGTGCGCATTTTTTTAAGCCTTTGCGCAACTACGGATGCTAACAAAGTTTTAACCGAGCAAGACACGCCTCTGTCGCAAATGCATGCTGCAATAATGAAAAAATGTAATGTTTTGTGGAAGGCTGCAGGGCGACCAAAAAGTGCCGAAACAATACAGGATGTGTTAGGGCACACGTTAAGCCGACCTGGTGAAACCAGGTGGAATAGCTTGTTTGATGCCCTCCAGCAAATTTTCAACATGAAAGAAAAAAGCTTACTTTTACATAGATCATTAAACATGAAAATACTATTAAAAGAAAATGAATTTGAATACATACAAGAATATTTGATGTGTACTTCGCCAGTTGCAGAAGCACTCGATATAGTGCAAAGTGAGACTAACACCTATTATGGGATAACTCTACCGTGCCTACTTGCGCTGAGAAAAAAATGGAAAAGAAAAACAACTTTTCCTTTTGCAACCCGTTGATCAAGGCATACAGGGAGTGTTTAGAAGAGATTTGAAACAATTTTTGACGTCATCACTCCTGAAGCGGAAATTGCGGCTATTGTGGCATTATCTTACCCTAGATTCAAAAATAATTGGTTGACTTGTTTTGAGCCCAACGATCGTACTAAACTTCTGAAACTTTTCAAGACCTGCATTTCTAAACAAATGAGTGAAAATACAGTAGCAACAACAAAAAGTACCCATGAAAACATTTTTTTTAATTTTGACTCTGACTCAGACTCGGATATTTCAATCTCAGATAAAAACGGATGCTCCTCCGATACCCCAATGACTAAAGCAGAACTTTTGATGCTGCATTTTTTGCCGAGGAAAGCCAAGATTTGCAACTTCTCAATAGATATCCTGAGATAAAAAGTGTTTTTATTAAATACAACACACCTTTGCCATCGTTAGCTGTAGTGGAACGCCTTTTTTCTTTTGCGACAATGACAAATCTGCCAAAGAGTCACAAACTGTCAGACAGCATGTTCGAGAAGAGAGTGGTACTGAATTGTAATTTAAATTATTACAAGAAATTTTAAACTGTTATTGTCTGTCTAATCATGTTTAATTAAAGGTATTGATTTGTATCATGGATGGATCGGTATTTTATTTTTTGCCAACATATTTATTTAACTACATGAAAAGATGGGGGGGATGGCACTATTCTACTCCTTGGCTTTATATTATACAGCAGTATTTCAATAATTATTTTTAATTAAAATTAGAGGAATTGAAAATTAATTGTTAGTTGTTAATTCTAATTTTTCACAATTACAATTGATTAATTGTTAGTTGTTGTGGTTACATTTACCAATTAATTGTTAATCTTTAATTGTTCTTGCAATTAAAATTTGCCCGACACTGCTTGTTGGTTTTGACGCTATGATATGGCGCGTTATCCATTACTACTTAACTTTGCGGAGGGAGATTGTACCTAACAAGTTTTTCTTTCAACCACTTCATGAAATTTGTTTGGTTCATCATTGTGGTAATCACCGGATTTTGTTTGTGACTTAAAAATCAACCTAGCGTTGGACACGAAACCATTTTCCCCTCCAGCATGCACTATTATCCAGCGAGCTCCCTTTGCATCGGAAGGTAGAACTCCTTCTTCATCTTCACTTTTCCATCATTTAGTCACACTGTACGAAGCATGGATGTAAGTTTCGTCCAGGTAAATGACAGGTCGAGGAGCAGCAGCACTACGATTCACTTGCATCTGTGTTAGATATTTAGCTCGCCAAGCTATTATGTCTGGCCTCTCCATTAAAATTTTTCTCTTGCTTGTGCATTTTTGAAAGCGAAAACCAATTGATCGCATGATTCTCCATAGACTTGTGCGGCTTCCATTGAAATTGATATCGACCTTCAAATCATTCAATAGTTTTGTCAGGGTCGGAACTTCTTTTCGAACAGCATAAATTCATGAACTTTATGACGTATAACACATAGGTCAAAGTCATCGAATTTAACTCTCTTTTCGTGTGGGCGTGATTTTCCCGGAGTTGAAATTTTCGTGGATGTACTTGCGGCAACTGCACCTTCTTGACTTATTTTTGTCACCGTCTTTTCTGATATACCTAAAAATAAAATAAAATAACGTTCAGACGTAATGCATCATTTCCAATGTAAGGAAATTATTAAAATAATACTTAGTAGTAAACTAAGTATTACTTATTAAATAATTATTTTTACATATAATATAATTACATATTTTCGGGACTAACATCTACTTATGGCAACACCATTTTACTAACCTGTCATTGCCGCTACCCGACTGCGAACATCTTGAAATGGAATAAGAGGAGCTTTATTAGCTTTTTCACGTTCACAAAACTTTTTAACTTTGAGAACCAATTCTCTTTCACCACTTCTTAATGTCTTTGGCATGATTGAAAAGTAAATCACACTAAAATAAATTTAAAACCTCGAGAGCTCTGAACACTGACAGTATTGACACAATAGACAACCAGTGCTACCAACATTTAAAATAGAAGGGAACTCTTTTGTGAAACGCACTTTAGGTTATTTATTTATTATTCGTCATATCTTGGTTAGGTTATGTTAGAACAGTTACCACAACGCACGAGCCGAGTGAGCGAAGCAAGCGTGCCGCGGTAGTGGCCGGCGAGTGCCATTATTATATGACTAGAAAACTAGAAAATTCAAATTTCACGCAAAGTATAATTAAAACACGACAAAACATAATCTTGGAGATCATTTTGACAATTGAAAGTGACATTTTGATATTTCCAAGTGTCTAAATGGCAGTAATGTTCTAAATAATGTATGGAAATGTTGTAGCTTTAAGTCTCAATAACTTTTGACTCTTTTGTTTCCTCAAAATATTTTTTTTTTCTTAATACAATATAATATAAAGTTGATATTTATAAAATAATGCTTTGATCATTTATTATGATGTTATATAATCATGTCAGCTCTAGATAGATTTGCTCTAGATCGTCCTTGGTAAGCAGGAGGTGCTGTAGGAATAGTTATCCACCCGGAAACTTCATCTCTAACCCTCAAATGTAATTTTTTGAGAGTCACCCGATATTGGAATATTATAATAGCAAGTATAATAACAGCCCCAACTAATACCCACCATGTATAATGATCTGGTGGAGCCCAAGGTTTTAAACTTAACTGTGGGATCTCTGATTCATCTACCCACCCTTCAATACTGAGGTCATCTAGATGTTCTTCGTTGAATAGGAATTGTAAGATTTAAAATTATCTCATATCCTGTTTTTAGAGTCTCTTGCGATAATTGATAGATTTGTCCGCCCATATGGAGATAATCTCCATCTTCAGATGTTAATACAGTAGGACTTGGACTAGTCTCTACATGTTTATGGACTATTAATTCCTTTTCCTTGAGTTATCATTATTTCTCCCTTAATATCGGAGGCACTGATCAATACTCCACCATCAAATGGGACAACTTCTAATTTAGAATTTGTGATAATTTCCACTCGCAATTTCTAGCCGGCTCTTTATCTTCAATGATGTGTTTTATACACCCATTAAAATTCAATTTTATTGGTCTTTGGGCATAAAGTAAGAGTTAACATTTCCTTGCATGCAGTAGAGTGAAATTCTAATGAAATAATAAACTCTATGAGTTAATGCACTAATTGCACTTCCAATTAGAAGCGCCTACTAATGTTAAAACATAAAGCGCATGCCATCATCGCCCCTGAAATTAATACCATGATGTATAGTTATTTATATTTATAAATCATAAAGACTTTTATATATTTGGACTCTCTATCACCTCCCCTATCCAAAAATACCACCCACTCCTCCAGGGGCCGCGTCCCATATACTAAACTGCAGCCAAAGTTGTAACCATTTGTGTAAGTTATTTGTACCTAATATTGAGTTGTATAAAACGTTTTTTGCAATATTTATACCTCCCTTGTGATATGAATATTGGTAAGTGCCCAACATTGTCAAACCGAACTGAATCAGGTGGTCTGGGAGAAACTGGAGCTTTTATTTATACTGCGGGGGGCTCATTTTCTTTAGAACGTATTTCACGGGTTTTATTATTTTGCAGAAATTCGGTAATTTATTTGATCCGAAACTTTTTTAAAGTTAAAAGCTTCTTTTCGCTTCGACAGTCTTTTTTATAAACCAAACAGGCATTCATATATGAAGTGCCTGGGCGAATGGCTTTTGAGTTTTAATAGAGATCGTGAGAACATTGTATTGTAAAGTCTTTTTTTGATAGCTTCTTTTTTCGGTGTTGCAACATTAGTTAGGTGCTTATTAACAAAGTTTTCAGATCACTTATACGGAGTGTTTTTTTGTTCTTTTCCGATGGCGTGGTTTTCAATTTCCGCTTCCTTCTCCTGAACTTTTTTGCTGAATCTCGGAAATCACAACTCAATTTACGTATGGCTCTCTGAACAGATTTATATCTCTCATCAATTTTTGAATATATTCACGATATGATTATTTTTTACGTGGCATTTTCTTCTCAATATTTCTCTTAATATTTCTAATCGCAATCCTATTCAAATATGGATTGCTTCTACTTTTTGTCTCATTTTGTTCAGGTCTTTCTGCGACTTGTGCAGCCAAGATGTTTTGAGTTTCCTGATTTTTTTCATTTGACCGGTCTTCTGCATATTATGCTGATGCTGTGTATGGGCAGGTTGTTCATTGGATGTAAACTGGATTGTGTGGACAGTTTTTGTTCTGTGACAACCTTCCTTTCTTTTTTTGCATCGTACGATCAAAAAATATCTCTTATTATTTTGGTAAGCTTTAATTGCTCTTGATTTAATTTTCTTTTCCATGTCTAAATATTTTTCAGGATTCGTTTTTTTTAGTTTCTCATTATGTCTCCTTGATATTTCTGTCTGAGTCAGAGGCATGTGAAACTTTTTAAGTAAATGAACTTACCTTTTACTTACTTTTTAAGTAAATGAATATACATCATTCAAATATAACAAAATATTATACTGAGATAGTTGATCAATAAATAATTTAATACTATATTTCAGTTCCATCAATTGATTTGCTGAAGCCGGAGAGCCTATTTTTCTATTTTGGAATGAACACATTAATTTTGAAATGTGGATAAGTACTGTTTTACCAAAACTAAAGAGATTTTTGATAGACAATATACACTAAACACTCCAGAAAAAAATTGGAATAATAAAAAAAACCGACTGCATAAAAAGCTGACTAAAAAGAACAGAACAAGTTGACGAATGTTTATCCATTTTTAATACGCATAGGACGATACCTTTATATGTATAAACAGTAACGACCTGCCCCGTGCTTCGCATAAATTATGATACACGCAAATAAACTATTATCATGAATGGTTTTAGTATATAAACCACCGCAATGCACTAAGCTATATGTTAGTCAAAGGATCTATACTATTTGCGCTTTAGCATTGCGCGGGTGACAGTTTCAGTAATGTTTCGTTTCTCTCTTGAAAATTGCCACGATTTACAAATTATGACTTAGTAATTCAGCTGTAACACATTCTTAATATATTAAATCATTAATTACTGTAGTAAATTAAATTATACCCAACCAGAATGTTCTAGTCTACAAATAAAATTTAATGGAAAGAAAAATTAAGCAATGTATTTAGTGACGGGATGTAATGGCACGATGGATAGTATTTTTTTTTAATAAAAAACGTATATTGGGCGTAGTTCAATATTATTATTAATGAAACAACAAGAACATATAACGGGTAGACCAAAAGTCCGTTTATATTTGAAATGATGTTAGAAAACAAACGAATTACAGTACATTAAAATTGTTTATTGTTTTTGACAGTAAACAAAAGGGGAATTTATTTTTTAAAAATCACATCATCCATATGCAATCCTTCATTATTTTCGCATTGTTGTAATCTAGAGCGGAAATTTTCGGATAACAGCTTTACATGTGTTTGTTGAGATGTTTTGGATTTCTGTGCGAATACGATCCTTTAATTCGTCAAGAGTTACTGGGTTGGTGTCGTAAACTTTAGCCTTAAGATATCCCCAAAGAAAAAAATCCATTGGGGATAGATCTGGACTACGAGGTGGCCAGTTAATGTCCCCTCTTTTGGATATCACTTTTGGGCCAAAAATGTCTCGAGCTGCCCTTAACGAGTCATTACATGTATGACAAGTGGCTCCATCTTGCTGAAACCACGAGCGTTGATTAAAACCAACAAAATCCTGCAGCGCTGGAGCGAAAAAGTTTTGTAACATGGTGATATAGCGCTCGGAATTCACCGTAACCGCACGTCCTCTTGAGTCTTCAAAAAAAGTAAGGACCAATAATGCCTCTTGCTGATAAAGCAGCCCATACTGTGACTTTGGGTGAATGCAGGGGTTTGTGATGTTTTAATTTCGGATTAGTATCACTCCAATAACGACAATTTTGTCTATTAGCATGCCCATTTAGGTGGAAGTGTGCTTCGTCTGAGAAAAAAATGTTTTGTAAAGCTGGTGAACCGCTCTAACATTTCGTTTGCAAACTGCAGCCTAGTGGCATGGTCATCAGGCCTTAATTCCTGCACCATTTGAATTTTATAGGGATGCAGCCGTAAATCTCCCTTTAGAATGCGGTTAAATGATGTTCTTGGCACGTTAAGGACAGCAGACCGCTTACGAGTTGAAAAGTTCAGGTTGGTCACGAACAGACGATTTTTACTCGCTCCACGTTTTCGGGGTCCCTCGACGTTTTTAGGTCGGCCAGAGCGAGGTAAATCCATTGTTGAACCCGTGTTCTCAAACTTGAGCACCCATTTTTAATTAACACACCTGATGGAGCTTGATTGTTGTGTCGTATCTTATATTGATAGCAAACTTTCGTTGAGCTAAGGTCGCAGAATCGTTATTTCGATAATACTCTCGTACACAAAACGCACGTTGACTACCGCTGAACGACGCCATGGTACTGAATTCCCATTGGCCGCTCTTGCAATTTCGATCCGCCAACCTAAACACCGGACTTGAACACGCCACACCCCCCCCCCCCCGCCGTCTGCTAGACGCAGGCAACACACTGATTCAAAGCCATGCAAAAATGAAAACATCTATATATATTAAAAAAAACCCATGTCTTGCCTTTTTATGACCTACCACTCTACTGTAAAAAAAAAAACAAATTAAATTTTTTTTTTCATTTTCATAATACTTTTTAATATCATACAATACTGTAATTATTAGCGCCTACTTGATTTGTCAATTAAAAAATTGACAATTGGTATCATGCGAAGACCCTTCCGGAAGTATTTAGACACGGAATTTTTGGAAGAGTTGATGATTTTTGATGTGCACAAAAAAAAAAGAGAAGACTGAGAAAAAGACGTCAGAGTCAGACGTATTCTGCCCTTTTCCCTTCTAAACAATCGCGAGACGAATGGATGACGAAATAGGCCAATGAAGATGGCATCTATGGAACTCTAAACAGCCTTGGGAGTAAAAAAAGATTACATATTAATTTTTACTTGTTTAAAATTTTTAGCGTTCTATAAAAAACCAAACAACATAACCAATTTCCAATAGTATTATTATTTTTTATTTCGAAAAAACAAATGACAAAATCTTTGAAAAAAAGCTACAAATTTTACAAATTTATTACAACATTATACATTTATGCAGGTTAAATGCAGTCAGAATACACATTTTGCTATAAGCATCCAAAGCGGTCAATATACCTACATATCTTATATTTATACTATTTATGTGAGTTATCAAGATGTTTATTTTCAACATCTATTTACAATAAAGGAAATTACAAGTAAAACTTAACTATATGTACAAAGCAAAGAATTACACTTAATTATTACTGTACAAGTCGTGTCCGCGTTAGACAAGTGGCAAGGAAGCTGGCCGCATTGCGCGCTGAATGGCAATGCCGATTCTTTGGGAGAATAATGAGGGTCAGCTCTCCTGTCACCAGTAGAGGCGATAAGACGAATGTGTTATGTCTGTATTAAAAAGTTCTTAGCACTTTGACTCCAAGGCCCAAGAGTTTTCTACAGCAAAAGGTATAAAAATAATAATTTTGTTGTTGTTGATGTGGTTATTAACATGTTTGGTAATGAAATTTCGAATGACCAAAGAATGTCAAAACCTTGATGATAAAACCTAAGATGCAGAAACCTGAGCCCTTATAAAAATCAACACCTAGTTAAAAACACCTATTAAGTATCAAAACATAGTTGTTTGGCTTTGTTGGTGTTGTGAGCAATTTTCTTCAGCTTGTGTTAACAATGTTTCATTGACCCTTTGACACTGCCTCCGTACAAGTAACATAGTCCAGACGACTATAAATTAAGTTGGTGACTTCAACGAAATGTTCCAATACATTTCAAAAAAAATGAGGTGTCACTATTTGTCATAAACAAGATATATAAAATTAGATAGATTCGTGTTATAGAGAACAGGTACCACCTCATTTTCAAAAAATGTTTACACATTTCTCAATGACCCTGCAAAAGACCTAAGGTGGGATAAGTTAAAGAATTCTTATCCTTACAACATTATCTTAAATAATATAGTTCTATATTGGATTATTAAGGTCAGGGTTTGCCATGCTTAACATATTTTGGCAAGTACGACATTTGTGCCTCTTAAGAATATTTGATGCAATAAATCCACGTATGTACGACAATAGGTTTGATTTTTAAAATCCAACAGTTATGTCCTCGACTTCCTCATCCAACAAATCTGGTAAATGTAAGAAAATCATAGCCTCTTTTAAATTTTGGTTTTCTTTGTCTTCCTTAATACGTGCAACTTTCAATTGTTGAAGATACACTTGGTTGTTTTTTATTCTCAGTTTCTCTATCAAAAATTAAAATGTGAAAATCTGTCAACAGATTATTAGAATCATTTTGACAGTTTGACCCTCTACACAGGTGTTGTAAGTCGGGAAATCTACTGCAGATTTGAATGCACTAAATAAAATTCGATGTTGTGGGATGGTTATTTGTCGGGCTTATGCTGGCGCATAACACCAAATAGGTTTTCGAGGGCACCTTGATTCACCTGTCTTAGGTTTTAAATATTTTAACTCTAGCTTTTGCACATCACACCATAAATCTCTTAAGGAAAACATGGTTCGTGATGTATTCCATTGAACACATTTTATGTCTTATTACAAAAAGCGGTTTAACTAAAAAACCTGGTTTAAACTTCTTTATACTGCGGTCTAAACAAATTTGGTATTACAAATCGTGGTTTTGCGATAAACCATAGACTATATCATGGTCTAACGCTAAACCTCGGCGACCCCTAGTTTAACGATGGTCTAAATCACTAAATCGGATTTGTCAAAGTTTGTGTTTTATGTTATATCATCTTTTTCATTGTGTTGTGTTGTTTTAACTCGAAAATGTAAACATGGTCGATTTAATTGATATTGAGGATATTGAAGCCGCTGAGATGTTGGAATTACCACGCCGACACAACAGAAGTCGTGTTCGAGTCAATCCCATCATGGAATTATCCGATGAAGGTTTCAGGCAAAAGTATAGGTTTAAACGTTATGCAATGAAAATAGTGGACTTAGTAAAAGAAGATTTAACTAGAGATGGTCGAGGATGCCCTGTGTCTCCCGAAATACAAGTGTGTTGCGCATTACGAAGCTGGGCTCGACATGAAGTAAGTAGATTAAAAGCATAGATTGCATTTACCAAAACATTGGTAGCAATAAAAAACTAAATTATGTACAAACTAATATTTTGTTTTTGTTTATTTATTACGGACAGCCAACAAAAGATACATTTATTTACACTACA